AAAAAAAAAAAAAAAAAAAAAAAAAAAAAAAAACCGGCGAGAAACTCAGTGGGCTGTGTCTGAGGGTTAATTTACTCGTCGAGCCCTTCGTCGCAAGCGACGGGTTCGACGAGAGCGGTGACCGGTGCTTGAAGTACCTAAAAGCACCGTTAGTGGATCGGGAGGATCCGAAATGACGTGTTTTGGGCGACGTCGACTGCTTTCCATTCTTTCCGCAGGATCGGGAATGTAGTTACCGGCGGCCACGATGAGAGGATTCTCGTGTCGTGCCGCTTTATCGAAGTGGATCTATATCGGCACAATACGCACACGGCACAATCGGCTTCCTGTGCTCAGTTTCTTTGAAAACTGTTTATTGCCATGAATTACGAAGTTGCGTTTTCTAACTTTTAAGATTTGACATGCTAACCGTACTTCGTGAACGATAGCAACGTGGAAATGATTTGTGCAAGTGTATATTTTTTCGTAGTACCAATTATTCCATTATAGTCAGCATTAATCTTTTTTACCTATGCTGATAGCCTTGAGAGGCTATATCAGCGTAACCCCAGCGTGTAGACGAGCTCTCGGGGCTGAAACCAGGAAGTGTTGCTAGCACTGACCCTTGCAAGAGCAGTGCTTCGGAGAATCTACCATCGGATCGGAAACGTGACCCACTGAGAAGATCCTGCAAGAAACTCAGTGGGCTGTCTCTATGGGTCATTGACCGTATATTAACCGTTTAGTACCTGAACTCCACAAGTAGGAGTTCAGATACATGTCTCTTTCCATTTGATGTCATTCGTCTTCATCCCAATTGATGACTGTCTCACATAAATCAACTTGTTTCGCTCAATTTGATTATTCATATAACATAGTAATTATGTATTGAATGTATGAATAATTAAAGTATTATGTATTGAATTTATGAATAAATAATATGAATTAATTAAAAGCGATAAAGTGTTGGCATTGCAAAAAGCGGATTGTCATACTAAAAAAATATGTAAATAGTAGGTACGCATCCTATGTACGCTACATGTAGATAGTGGGCTTTATAGATGATGCTGTATTTTTTTTGCACAGCCTGTTGCGTGTACGTCGCTGTTACACACGAAAGTGGATAAGTGAGTGAATGTTTCGGTTTCTTATAAGTTTACTTTGATATTTTTCTAATTTGACTACTGGCAAGACTACTTGTTATTCGGGTTATTCCCAAAACGCCTTAAATAAGACATATATCTATATATATACGTAACACTTCGCTCATTCATACTTAAAACTTTGTGTTGGTTAGTAATATAGTTGTAAAAGCGATACGTACGTTATTGTAATTGTTTTATGAAATTCTAAATCATAAAAACACTCTTACAAACTATTCGGTGAGCGTAGTAAGTGTTTACTTTACAATAAATCGTGCAAAAAATTATAATCATAATCGGAGTATTCTGTGATGAACATTGTGACGAATATACCAGTGTGAAGTATTGACGATCTTTATTCCGCAAGTTATTATTTATAAAATTGTTGGAAACGTGAGAAAAAAACTAGTTTTCAAAATACACTCAGTTTACAGCCTAAATACATTACATAGGTAGTATAGGTATTATAAACAGAAGAGGTCTAAAGATTGATTTATACTTCATCAAAACTAGGTAGGTACCTACATAATATGTATTTTGATCAAGTACTGAAAATGATTAGGACAAGAATCTTTACAAAGTACATTTTCAAAAGAGAAATAAAATGCACTGTTTTTATTTTTAAACGATCAAATCCAAGTAGACATCTTTAATTAAAAGTATATTATTGATGAATATATCTTATATTATTCGGGAAAATTCTGATTTCTGAAATTGGTTGACAATTGACATGTTTATTGATATTTCTCAGATTAAAATCATGTTTTCTTCGTTTCATTCGTGTATTGAACAAATGAAGGGAACATTGCCCATTCAGCCAAATCTTTTCTAACATACGCTTTAGTCATATCTTTTGTATGAAAATGAAATGAAACGTTATTATATTTATCATGGTGTCGTAAAACAACACCATAGTTGGATGTGATGAGATGAACTGAAATAACTTTTCAGTGAATTGGTGAGGATTTACTTTTGTGCACTGTTCCACTCTCCATGGTTATTGATTACCCTATCTTCTTAGTCATAAGGAACATCATGGACGGACATTCTTCTCATATACCAACCTTAGTCTGGAACGCAACTGTTTGGGCCATTTGTTAATGCCGTTATTAGCCAAGAGACGGTTGCCGCTACCAATAGATGTGCTTGTAACAGTATTAACGATGTCATCGGGCCACCTTTACCAGTTAGCCCTTTTCGTCCACGACCGTGCTGCTTATTACTCTAGCAGAAACACTTGTAAGTGAACGTGTGTGACATTGAATTACCTACGTAGACAGTGGCGTTATACCGTGAGGTGGATAAACTCATGAACCAGCTGCTTCAGATTTTTCAAGCAGCGGGTAGTTGTTAGTAAAGTCTCGTCGAATTGGGATATACCTCTGATCCGCCAAGAATCCCTTGCATCCGAAAAATAATAAGTAACCTTCAATCAGATTCTTATTTTCAGAGCAATGAAAAAAGACGAACGAAAAAGCTTAGAAAAATGTTTTCAAGACATCAATCGTACTTATGTCAGAATAAGAAAGGAAAATAAAATAATGAATAATCAAATTTTATTCAAAGCCCTCAATCAATTAATCAATACTATGAAATCAAAAAATGGCTTATTTCGTAATATGAAACCAAAACTCGAATTTTTAGGCAGCTACTTCGATGGAGTAAGAGTGAAACATCCTTCGGAATATGATATAAATTTGATTCTTACCATACCTATCAACTATTGTAAAGTTAGTCTTGAAGCTGC